CATATTTGTTTCTATTGTACACAGTTTAGCTGATCAAAAGGATACAAATGTATCATCGTCTATCCCACTTTGCCAAATTCCATCCGACAGTTTTTAGTCATTTATCTCTCCTAGCTAGTTGTATAGACATTCGTAGATATTGGGATGGGGAGGCTTTTGGTGGCGGTGGTGGCTTGTTCTGTGGTGACAGTGTTGGTGCAAATTTGGTTTGGTCTCTGGACTCTGAAGGATGATCTAAGCTTAAAATGTTGCTCATGATCTTTCTGATGGGTAAGATTTTTTACATATCCCAATTAATGCTTGTTGATTAGTGTTTTTAAAATATATTTCTTTTAGTTTTTTTATGGGATTTTGGTGACATGATGTAGCAATGTGTGGAAGATAAAATGACATACCAGGATTTAATTGGTTATTGCATTTTAAATTCTTGATTGTTGTGTGTTTTTGCTTGATATATAGAAGGTTTTTTGGAATTTTAAAGTTTTTTTGTTGTTGTTTGATTGTCACAATGTAAGCATGTTGCTGTAATATATACGAATCCTTTTATTTCAGGAGCGATAGAAAGAACTATACTACATCTTCTTATCATTATATCCAAATAATAAAATTGCATTCATGGTGAAGTTACTAAAATCGCTTAGTAAGAGCGTGCAACCCATATAAAAATGATTTCTCAAATCATATATATGAAAGAAGGCTGGATCTCTCTAGATTTCTGACACGTCAACAAGGTAGAGAATGCCATGTGTCAAGAGCTTTTTTTTTTTTCCCTTTTTTTCTTGCAAACCAATCACACTGCTTTGCATTACATACGCCACTCTCGATTCACCTTCGGCCGTTTCTCTTCCTCCTCCATTACTCTCAATCTGCAGTTTCTGTAATTTAAGATGCGATTCACTTTCTTTTAATGAGGTCATGTCCTTCTCCTTACTGTTTCAACGTTTTGCAAAAGAAAACTTCACGCAACTAACAGAGAAAGGATTCTGATTGGTTGGAATACAAAACGAATTTGAAACTAGGAGAAGGAAGTAGAGAAACAGTGTCTACTTCCTCACTACCATAATTTAGCGACGGCGAAGACTAATTTTTCATGGGTCTATATACTTCTTTTACTCATTTTTGTTTTGTTATTTTTCCTAGTAGCAGAAAGACCGAAAACCAAACGAGAGAAACGAATAACTACAAATAAAAAAGCGACAATCCATCGAGTAGAGAACCGAGAAAAAACACCAATTCCGAACTGAGAAGCTCGGACATTCGTGTGATTGCTTCAGCTCCTAAAAACTCGAGTTCTCATCATCGTTGCCACGAGCAACCTCTTCCTTAGGCAAGCCCTCAAACCTCACAAAAGATCACCTACAGCTTCTCCGAGGGACACACACAAAAACGGGAAGGCTAAAGAGGACGTACAATAATAATGTTCTACGCATTAAAACCTCTCATCAGTCTAATACTAAACAACTTCAATGGTTGGTTACTTGGTTTCTTGGAAACAATTAATGTTTATTCATATTTTTTCTTTAAACAAACAAATTATATCAGAAACAATTTAAAAATATATACTTTTCATATATATAATGTTTTTTTTTTTACACGTAGCAAAATCTTTATTTGTTTACTTCTTTTTGTATGTAGGATGATTCATGCACTACTGCCTATATGAGTTATGCTAACAAAGTCACATTTAAATATATATGTTGCACACTAGAATTTCGACACGTACAAATACACTATGTTCTAAATATTGAAAATTGAAGTAAAAAATAATACGTAGTAGTGCATGAATCATCCTACATATATAATTAAATTTACTAAACGGTTATACTTTTCACTCATTATTGAAAACACTAAAACGAAAGAGACAACAGTAGATTAATGTCCATATCCTGTTCACGTATCATCTCCATATTTGATTGACACGTACGGCTACAAAGGTCTATCATGCATAATAATAAAGCAAACCTACCTATCTATTTTTTTTAGAGAAAAACGTAGTTTCCAAATTCTCATTTTCATTGCTCCTATTTTACGGGGATTCAACCAACTTCTTTCTCTTTTTTTTGGTCTAAAAGGGGTCAACTTCTTTTATATTTAGAAATGAAGAATCAAAATCATCCATTTTATTTTCCAGCGAAATTAATTTAGATTGAATAATAATGGTCATAATACAAGAGTTCAAAATAACCAAATCGGCGGTTCAACACATCCTTTTAAAAAAGGAATGCATACATACTTTTCTCGCTATGATATGTGTTATTTCATTACAAGAACGCGGATATGTCTAAATTTAGCTCTCCAATTAAAAACGTTTTGGCATAATCCTTCAACAAAGACATCTACAGTAACGCTATTGATGATATTGATTAGAACTTCACAATCTCTTTCAAACTAAACTGAACTGAAATCTCTAGACCAAGCCTGTTGTATCGAAGATAATAAAGATTCCGTTTCAGCCTCCATTCATATATATGAATGGTCTCGTAAAGAATCAAAATGATTTCGCGAGCTTTTTAGGCTTTTTTTAGATGCCCTTCTCGTAATAACCTGGTCCGTTTGAGCCTTAACTTGCTTGAGCACAAAACTCTCATCAATCTAATACTAACTACTTAAAGCTTTGGAAATAAAACTAATGGTAATCAATTTTCAAACAAATCAAAAATACTTTTTGAACTCCGATTTTACAGCATATCCGCATAAGGACAAAAAATTAGGAACAGAAAATAAAAACTTGTTTATATATTAATATTTGTGAATCAAATTAGAATGTTTCAAATATTTTTTTAAATCATTTTTTTTTTAATGATATTCAAACTTGAGATTTTGTCAAATTACTCATTATACTCTCTAAAAAAAATTCAATTAAATTTTTCTGAAACGTAAAATAAGTCTGCTTGTTAATTTTGATAATATAATTAATTTTGTTTAAATTTAAATTTAATCACTACAAAAAAGTAGAATACACCATTTTGGGACCGATTTAAAACGTTAAAATAAGCGGTCACTTAACGGCGTTCTATCCACCGACATTAAATTTTACTCAAATTTTAAAATCATTCATGACTACATGAAAATTATGTTATAGCAATGTGCTTTTACATCACTATAGTTTCACCCATTCCTAATTATCAAATTAATAACTGTTCTTGCAGGTAGCATTAATTCAAATTCACTCTAGATAAAATGTAAATAAATATCTTTAAAATGTATTGCACACGTTTGTTCAAATTTGAATTAAATCTTAAAATTATATAAACAAACCATTTATGTACTGAATAAGATGTTTCAGCACAAGGAGCAATTAGTAAAAACCATATATATCACATTAGACCGAAACTTCATTTTTTGTAGTTACAATTCAAGATTACATTTTTCTCTTCCTTTTTTGGTTTTACATTCAAGCTTACATTACACATATTTATTAATATTGTTACTCGTTTTGCTAACGACTTATTCAAAGTAACATTTTAATATATGTTGCACATTATACACGCGTCTATGTTCCAAATTTTGAATAAATCATTAAATAATAGCACAACGATATGTTGATATAGTGCATTCGTGAATCATCAATCATATTCATAAAATAAAAGTTTATTTAACAATAAAAAATAAAAAATAATAATAGTTTAACGTCCATGCATGTGGTAATTAAGATTGATAATGTAAAAATTAAAACATGTCTAACTAGAATTGGTTAGCACATTAAAAAAACATAATATGAGACCAATCAGTGAATCATAATCACTATATAAAGAGCCATCCTAAACTTGTTCTACTGAAGAAGACAAACAAAAAAAAAAACTTAAAGCAAAATGGCATTGCAAAAGTTACCTCTCATGTCCATTGGGCTCCTTTTGCTCCTAATCATCGTCGGTTCTCCGGTAAATGCCGATGGACCGGTTTGCCCACCGACACCGTCCAACAAACTAAGCCGGGCACATTTTCCTGAAGGTTTCTTATTTGGCACAGCGACTGCGGCATATCAGGTACAATATGTTACATTATAGCTCAAAATATTTTATATCTAATATTTGAGGTCATTGGTATGAATATTTGCTAAACATTTAAACTATTTTCGTTATGTCATTAGGTTGAAGGTGCAGTTAATGAACTTGTCGTGCACTACGG